CATAAAAAGCAAGTAAATCTGCACTGATATATCTGTGCTGACACACTCTGATGTATCTTCTGGCCTGACCCTGCTCTCAGGGAAGCCAAGAACATACTATTATTGGTTTTACAAGGACTATTGCTAGATTGAAAAAATGCTATCCAGGAAAATTTTGAAGATTTAAAAAATGTTAAATTAAAAAAAAAAAATCCTGATTTACCACTCTAGGGACACAGTGATAAATTTCAAAGTGTTAGGGGAACTGAGGCTTCATCAGAACAGGATTATTTTGAGGCAGTGATGGGTTGGAGGTAGTTCTTTGCTGAGGGTGGACTCTGTGTCCCTCCTCCAGCACAGCAGAAAGGCCAGCCTATTCCTCTTCCTATTCCCCTGTCTCTTTTTATCTCCTTCGTGGTGCTCAGCAGTTTTACCCAGTTTATCCCAACAAAAGTCTATTTTAAAATGGGACTTCCCCACAGAATTTTTTCACCACTGAGAAGTCATAATTTTCCAACAAGATGTTGCCCAAAAAGTCCCATTCAAACTGAAGAATCAAGGCTTTCATCACAATGAACCCTCTCTTTCTGGCTGATGACACAGTGAGTAGAACCTTCAGTTTTGCTGGTAAATTCTGCTTACAGAATTGTGGTGGAAACAACTGCAGGCAGCTATGTCCCAGCATGTCTGATTCACCTGAAAAGGTCTCTCAGTTTTTAATATTTGTTGCTAAGAAGAAATGAAACATGAAGAGTAAGCTAAATTCTCTAAAATACAGTTTTGGACTACTAGTGCATACAACTGTCCTGGCCCATGTAAGACCAACAGTGGCTAACAGTGGAACATGATGTTCAGAGCAGCTCCTACTGTTTCAGGGGGATGAGAAAATAAAATCCACAGAAGAAAAAAAATCTTCTATTTTGGTATACTTAACACATACAGTTATCTACGTGTCCTATATATCATTTAACAAATTGCTTTGCAATTCTTATAGGGCGTGGTATAATGACTGATTTAAAATCACTGCATTGCTTAAACTGCATTGTTCTTCATCAAGTTGAGTCATTTTTATGTGAAGTGTCAAGCTCTCTAACAAATAACTGCTGCCAGACAAATCAAGTTCCTCATCTTAAAGCTACGGCTAAATAGTTTATAGCTTTAATCTGCTCACTGAGGTGTGCAGTCTATGACAGTAATTATAAATGCAAGGAGAAATTATAGCTGAATGCTTTAACTGCATTAGGAGCCATTTGATGAACAATCATGATTGCCTGCTCATTTTCAACAATAGAGGGCAAGTTAGTGTCAGTGCATTAGAGGATTTTCAGTTCTGCTCTGCTCTTTCTTCCATTTACCACAGAATGTCAGTTGTCTCCCATAAAGTAGAAAAAAAAGCACTGTAGAAGCTTTAAACTTGATGGTTAAAAAAAGACAAAGGAGGAAACAGAGAGAAAAACTGTTTATCATTATGACTCATTTTTTTTTGTTGTTTTGCAGCAGCTTTACTTTCAAATTAGTTCATCTCAGGTAGCTGCTTGTTTACTTATCAGGGCCTTTTAAAAAAGAAATATCCCCAATCAGGTTGGTAAATTTGACTCTGTAGAGACTTTTTTCTATAAAAAGTTGTAGATAAGACCACAGAGAGCCTCGTTTACCGTTCAGTTTCTAGCCAATCTCACCTGACTTTAAAGTGAGAAATACAATTCTGCCTTGTCTTTTTTCTCAGGACAGCATAAAAATTCTAATTTAGTTGAAAAAATGAACAAATATTCTTCAAAGGTATAAGTCAACATCCAAATTACTTCTAATTAAAGCCATGTTCCCTAATGTTCATGGGTTTTCTTTGAAGAATAGCAATAAAAACAAATTTGAAGCGGGTTAAATGAAAGAGAATAGAGACATCTGATTGTTGTATATAACACATAATTTTACATTATATCACTAAACCGATATCAGTTAGAAGAATTCAAGAAAACATAAAAGATGAATATAAACCAGATACATACATCTTTACATTTAAGAAGAATTTATAGCAAATTTCTTATAAACAGCCTCACAGAGGTCTTAAAAATAAATCCATATACATAACACATTTTTCTACAGTACTAACCCAGATTATTCATTTATATTTTTAATGATAGCTAGCATTTTAAAATATAATCTGTAATAGTGAATTTCATTGAAATATATAAAGTATTTTATGTATTTCTATACTTCGAGTACTCTTTCCACTGTTTTATTTCCATTTATTTGCATATATTTTCTCTATTTTTATTAGTATTTCACTGCAATATTGCCTAGAAGAAGTAAACGCAAATGCATGTGCACGTTTTAAGAATCTCAGTATGCATTATATTTCTTGTTTCTAAATACCATGCTCTACTCTGTGTTATTATTCAAATGTATACTGAATCTTAAAAATAACATGGTAAGAATAAGTAAACTCTGAAAATCCCTGTTATCTGATTTAGTCTCCTTGCAGATCTTGGGAAGAAACCATATGAATAAACTCTGGCCTCCATACTTTGAACATAGCCAGAACTTGGGTAGGCTTACAGCTCCAAAACTGTAATAAAATCTTTACAATGCTATCCAAAATACCCCATCATTTCATACAATTTGTGCTATCATGCATACCAACTAAAATTACAGTTCCAGATAACAGTGCTATCACTCTGTCATTGCAATTTAAATATATTTTTTCAAAGGTAAGATACAACCTGCATCTTGATATAAATTAGAAATGGATGAGTATTAAGAGGACAGCAATTTCTCGATACCCAAAGGCAGGAAGGACAGTACCTTATTTATGTAGTTACATATCACCTGAATAATACCCACGATGTGTCTGTGCAGGTTATTACAGTGCAGAAACAATTTTTTTCCCTTGGATATTTTTTTTTTCTTTGTATTCATTCCCCAAATCCTCAGAAATAGTAATGTGTTTATAAAGGTGGGTGTTTGGTTTGCCTCTTAGTAATAACACGGTGCTTTTAAGACCAAATCTGAAACATTTGTCATGTATTAAGCCATGAATGTGCCAAAATAACTGTCATATTAATATATTTGGCAGATAGCTTTTGTTTGATAGCACCCAAATTATTGGTTTGCTCCGATATCTCTTGTATGAAAACTAGGAGTGTTTAAGAATGATTCATGAAGACTCGTAAGATTAAAAAAAATGAATCGTAATAATCATTAACTGGTGGGGAAGGAAGCAAAGCATGGTATATTCTTCCTAACCAATCTCTTGTCGTTTTCTGATATTTTCTCAGGGATGTTGATTTTGAATGGTTAGATAAACAAGGAACATTTATTTCTTTGTTGAGTTCTAATGTTGGGTTAAAAATGCCAAAGCAGAAACTTAAGGGTGTTAGCCCTATTTAGAAAACAAACTCCTTTTGAGTTAAACAGAATTTTGCTGGATAAAACATGCAGAAAGGATAAATCCAGTCGAATGCAGACAGCATGTACAAGATGTATGTAAAACTTAAATCTTATTGTTTGAATACTGACGTTATACTCTATAGTAATAGCTTCTTTTACCTATCCCAAAGTAACCCTTTGATTAGTGGTTTAAATTATTCAAAAGTAGCCTTTCTAATGGAGCTTAAGTGGTGCATAGTACTTGTGCTGGCTCTGTACACAGAAAGTGTTTCTTAAAGCTTCATGACTATTTGCAGCAAACAAATGTGAAATCTTCACACAAACAAGTATTCATCCTCAAAGTGCTTGCACCCTCAAATAGCCAGAGAGTAGCCACAATAGCAGGTGGCATAAGTGACAACTCACAACACATCTTTAATTTTGACTGTCTGACGAATTCATTTTCCAAATGTTATTCAAGTAATGAACATGTTGGAGAAAATCTGAATCTGCACATGATTATTCTGTGAACAGAAGCAGAGCCTGAGTCTGCTGGAGAAATTGTTGGGAATGACTAACAGAGCCTTCCTGGAAATAAACTCGTTAGAACAAAAAACTTCTGTTTGGACTTTCAGTTGATGTTCTGCATATTTATTTAAATCAAGAATATTCAAGTTTGTGTATCAAGTAAAATTAAAAATGTAAAAATTGTGTGTCATCCGAATATTACATTGCGTGTTATAAACATTAGTTACGGCATTACTTTGGTGGTGTATCTTTCAGGACAAAATAGCGACACTAACGTAGAAGCATCCTACTAACAAGTCTTGGAAATATTAGTTTGTAAAAAATCTAGCTGCTTCCTCAATTAAGCATTAACCCCCCCAGGTTATACGAAAACTTGCACTAAGTCAGTGATGTTTATGGATTGACTAGCACTCCTACCTACATGAAATAAAATGTAATCAAACATCTTGAAGATTAAAAAAGGAATGATGGAAAGTTTAAAATGGTGCGACAAAAAAGGCCACTCACAACAGTAAGTGTTTAAGTGTCAAATATTAAAATATTTTACAAAACTGATAACCAAATATCAGCAAAAGAATAACCACTAGATATAAACTTTTCAGATTTATTTGTAGATTCTGGGTTTAAGATTATGAGAAACTTGGAATAATTAAGGTTTTGCTAATTTGACATTTGAATTGTCTTCTTTTCCCCCATCAAAATCAGATTTACTGGTGTGTTAGCACTGAAGGAGGTAATAATCTTTTGGTTTTCAGTGCTTTTCTCCTGCTTTTTCCATTCTCATTGCAAGGAACAGCATTTAGTTGTTGCATTCCACACTGAAGTGCATAGGATGTGAAACGAGTAATTCTTAGAAACACAAAAGAAATTGACAACTGGGAAAACAGCTATTTTAAAAATATTAATAAGAAGCAACTTTACTATATAGGGCAATGTAGTTATGCATTTACCAAGCTCTCTACTTGAAAACATTATAAGATGGATATGTACATGCAATTAGGTTAATGAAGCAGGAATACCTTATGCATGTTATATTGTTTTCCTACATTTAAGAAAGTACGAATGTCTTACAAAGCCTCCTTAAAATGATGAAATTAAAATTCTCTATAGAGCATGCATACCTTAAGAGTTATTCTTCATCCACTTCTGCTACAAATTGTGAATGGTGTTCTGGTGACTTGCTGTGTGTTTTGCTTAGATGAAGTTTTACTGCATGTTTGCTTGCAAATGTCCGACAGCACAACTTACATTTGAACTTAGAGTCTGTGTCCTCTTCTCCAGCTATTGTTTCAGGAGATCTTTGAACTGAAACTCTGGAGATTTCTTGCTCTACCTTAGTTTGCTGCTCCACAGCCAGCCTGTTCATGTCTTTCATTTGGAACCCTAGATGAGATTCTAAGTGGCTAATATAAGTAGATGGGGTTCGAAACTGAGATGCACAGTCGCTGCAATAAAAGACTGGATGTCCTTTGTCCATGTTTTTCAAAAACTTTGTTCCTCCGGTTTTCCTAAGTTGATACTTGACGTTTGCCAACCAATGGCTGATTGTGGTCATTGACAGTCCAGTAAATTTTGAAATCTGCATGCGCTCTTGTGGGCCTAGATCTGATAATAAATATTTACCTTCAGATGTCTGGAAGAGGCTGGAAGCAAACTGAGCTTGCAAAATGAGAAGATGCTGAGGGTTCCAGTTTGACTGTCTGCCCTTCCTTTTATGCAGAGTGGAGACTTCTGTTGAGACATCCTCAAAGCGTCGGACATCTATTTCCAATTTCATAGATGGGATCCTTGAAGATGCAGCAGGTTTTGGTGTAGTAGCTTTGGGAAGAACTTTGACCATGTCAGCGATGTCAGACAGAGCATGTTTTTGAGGTGGAGAAGTACAAGATTGTGCTTGAGCCGACTCAGCTTTCTTGCCTTTGGATTTGGTCAGGTCAATAGGCTGATCATTGTTTTCAAACAAGTAATGCCTGGAGACACTTGCAGCCTTTGGTGGGGTTGGAGCAGGAGATAAAACTGGCTTCTCCATCATATTTAGATTAGGTTTGTGGAACATAGAAATTGTGCTAGAGCTGGGGCTGGAGTTGGATTGAGGCCGTAAAGGCTCAGTGGCTTTGCCCAAGTGATTGTTCAGTACTGACTGCAGCGCACTGAGAGGGTTGACACAAGGAAGTTCAGATGAATGGTTGGCAGCACCACAACCATTACTAAGAGAAGCTGCTGTTGGTTCCTTGAGAACTGTTTTTTCTTTTCCACTGTCCTCTTTAATTTTGTCTTCTTCTTTCAAGGGACATGGTTCTGTCTTTTTTGGCTCCACAGAGGCTTCAGATTTGAGAAGAGGTTCTCTCTCACTCTGGCTGAGTGAGGCAGGCTCAGCTTGGATAACCTCTTTAGCATAGTCTTTTGGTACCTCCTCCTTGTCATCAGTTTCCTTCTTCACTTGGGTGCACTGGGTCATATTCGTTGAGATAGGGACCAGAGGCATGACCTTCCACTTTGGAGCTATTGGCCTCAATTTGTTGGTGATTGTTGGCCTGATTTGCAGTACTTGTGAACCCACAGGCAAAGATGGCTTAGCTCCTTCTGAGAGCTGATAAGCTGCATGGATGCTGGGATATGCACTCCAGCTGGGCGCTCCATTTTGAGCTTTATTGATGGCTGTTGTGACAGTGTTCTCCAAGGACTTCAGAATGTCCCCACCACCCTTTGAACCATCTTCTAAATCTTCTTCTCTGAGGTACTGGTATTTCATTGTGGGATCCAGTGGTTTCTGAAGAGTGTCTTCATACTCTTCAGTTTTTACTGCTTTCTCATCTTTATTTGCATCATCAGCTTTATCTTTTTTACTTTCTTTTTTTAGTTCAGAGGTGGGAGCTACGCATTCTGCAGATGATTTACTGCTTGATTTTGAAACCGGGCTTTCATTGGCTGGTGCTTCAGACAGTGATTGCATTTTTTCCACAGCTAAAGGATCCAGAACAAGTTGCTTTCCTTTCTTTGAAGCTGAACTTGTGACTTTCAAGAAATGACCAGTAACCATCATGTGAGTTGTGAGCTGCTGCAAGGTATCATGGGAACTTCCGCATTCCATACACTTCAAAATCTGGGATTTGCAGGCCTCAAACTGCCACGTGTAGCTGGCGCCATTCTGGTAGCCGTAGCGGTTGTTAGATGATAACTGCAGGTTCGCATTCTTCTGAGGAGAAAAAGTATCTGAGAAAGACCCTGTCGTGGAATCGGGAGAACAAGGTCTGTTAACATCGAACACACGTTTCTTTGCTGGAGTGACAATTTTTGAAGAAATAGTTGGTACTGGCTCCTTCAAAGGCACTTTTTGGTAATGTTTTGTTTTTATCATATGAACACTCAGATCTTGCAGGGAATCAAAAGAATCACCACAGAACATACATTTCAGAACTTTTTGTGCATCTTCCTTGTCCATGTCCTGGAAAGCCCTTTTTCGGGGCTTTGAATAGCTGGTAGGTCTGTGCTTGTCCTTTTTATGGTTGTCATCTTGGTAGTGACCTGTCTCATTCATATGAACCGTTAGTTCTACCAGTGTGTCATAGGCAGCACTGCACTGCCGGCACCGAAACCGGCTGGCGCCTGTGAATACAGTTCCACACATTTTGCTGCTCTGCCTGTAGAGCTGGACTGAGCTGAACAGGTTGGGTTTTGAGACAGGTCTGGAAGGTAAATTCTGCTGTAAGCTTTTTGACAGTGCATCTTGGTGCCAATCAAAATCAGCTTTGTTCCCTCCATTTCTGTTGTCACAACTCCTCTTTTCAGAGTTGGACAATTTGAAACCCAGCCCCAAGCCTGTCCAATAAGAGTCTGACAGTATGTTGGCATAGACTGCTGTCATTTTATCCATGCAATCATGTGCTTCATTCTGGGCTTTGGGATGGGCACTGTTTTTTGGGTCCTGTGGCTCTCTAGAGCAAATGCTTTTAATATCTGCCACATGGTCACTACCATCACTTAGTAGTGATTCATTTTCTGCATCCTGGTTAGATATGTGGCTGACAGGGGAATTCTGGTAACTAAAGTTCCCTTTCTGCTCAGGACCCACTTCATGTTCCTCATCCGTGCCAGTGTCATTGCTGCCCTGGAGCTGAGCAGTTGAGTTGTTGTCGTCATCATCTTCTTCCTCCTTTATATCTTCCTCTTCCTTTAAATCTTCCTCTTGGACATAACCTGAAATGTAATGTCAATATATGAAATAACTTGTTAAAGCAGAATACTACAATTCGAGATTTCTAGCTTCACTATGTATTTTCTTTATCGAACTTTGTTTTAATCTACAACTTTATTGCCTGTTAGTTCTGGAAGTGAAAAAAGCCAAATTATGTCTCTTTTTGTGAAGGTTGCTGCATTTATTGGCAGATGATCATAATTCTTTATAACTGCCAGAGATTCTGAGTTGATAATTTTCCTGTCATGGAAGTATAATTTTAACTGTCCTGTAATGGGACAGTTGGAAAATTCATATGTAAGAATTTAAAGTTTATATTAAAAGCTTCAATTCTATCAAATTGTTTTTTTAGCTTCAGTGAAAGAAAGGAACGGAAGAAAATAAATGCCATAATCTTCCTGGTTCATAGCATCATCTAGGTACAGTAACCTTTTGCCATTTGATCACCTAAAAATGCACTTTAGAATGTACACAAATAATTTATATGTCAAAATACAACATCTGAAAGCACTAATAGGTGTAAGTGGAACTCTTTTGTTTATAAAAGTAATGTACTGTGTTCCATAAAAGCAAATTGTGCTTCAGTAAAAACAAATCCATAAATTTCAGGGCAAGAACCCTTGGAAATTACAGAAGAGTATTAGGATATGACAGAGGTAGACCAAAGCAAAACTGGAAAAGTAGAACAGATCCAGAAAGATTTTCTTTGACAAATTAACTGTTTAATTAATAAGTTGAACTAGATAGTGGAAGAGCTGTAAATTTTAAAATTAATTAAGGAATTCAGGGGTTTTTTTTCCTGTCCTTATATCAGCAGTAATTCTGACTAAGTTACAGGAGATAACTTGGTTAAAAACAGACTGAAGAATTAGAGAAGAGGATTTTTAATGGTGAACTGGTTCCATTGCAGTCTTTGGATAAAGTCACAATGACATAACACGGTCAGCAGTTCACTCCCAGACCCCCACAAGAAGGGATGGAGCAGAATGAATGGTTCAGAGCTGTTTTCACAACAGTGGAATTAATTTTTTTAACAGCCACTGCAAAGCTGTTACACACAATGCAAGCAGACATTGAAACAATTCACTGTTATTGGCAGCCACTCATCAAAATTAAAGGTTGATTTTAGAGGCACAGGTCTTCGTAGGAGATAGGTTGATGAACTCTTCCAGTTACGTGCAAACACAATCCTGTTAACCCTAGTGACAGCACTGCAGTCTCAGGAGTACTTTGTTGTGTTTGCTTAAGATCTAGCTTTTTGTGTCAGGTTAGTATGTAAAAAAAAAAAATAATGACAAAACCCCCAAATTAAAGTTGCCCTTAAAAAGAACTAAGCAAAAATAAAATAGAACACTAGTATTAGTAATTGTGAACAGACCCTAAAAGCTCATAAAGCACAAGGTAAATGACCTCAAAATTGTTAATTGTTTAAAATCCAATTCCTTCCAATCTTCTGAGGAAAGCCATTTTATGACTTTTTGAGAACCTGGCTCATTTTGCTCTCTTGAATTTGGTACTCCTGCACAAATGTTATCCTTTTAGCAAATCAAAAGGAATGAGCAGAAAAGGTAGAAGCATTTAGTTTAACATATGGACAAAGCCTTCCTCAGTTTTTTCAGTTTTATGTTTCAGTTTTTCAATCTACTTTCATGTGTACCTCAGCTCTTCCAACACATGTTTACCATCAAGCCAAGGAGATGAACCAGAACTGAGAGAAACTGTTTCCTGGATGAAGCTGCAATGTAAGAAGAGGGAAATGATGGATCCCTCTGTGGATGGGCTAAGAAACCCATGAGTTGTCTTTCCTACACCCTTCCCACAGTCTTAGGACCTGCACAGATCACACCAGCTTAGAGCTGGGCTTGGCTTACTCCAGGATGACATGAGGCAGCTTCACATCCAGAAGCAAAGGTAACAGCAGTGGCTATGAGCAAATGACCTGGACACCATTTTAGCATGATAAAATAATAATTGCACAGTAGTAGGAACACTGTGCTCTTCAGAAGATGGTTTCAGCAAAGAAGCTAAATATTAATCATTAAATATTAAAAAATATGCCTTTTAGTAGTGTTTTGGGGTACAGCAAATATCAGTAGCCCCATTTACAGATGATCAGACTGAGGCAGGCAGCAAAGACAACACTAAGAACAAGTTTTTTTTTTTCTCCTTCCTAAACTTCTCCCCTAATAACCAGATTATACTTTCTATGTACCCTTTTCTGAGCTCATATGTTTTTCAGAAGGACAAAAGGAGAACGGAGGGACATGGAGGTGGCAAAATCTCCTACACGTCATGAGTGGTAACCTTGTTAAACAAGCAGCACGAACCGATGAGCTGGACTGACATGGTTCTCGCGGTGTTAGAGATACTGCACAGCGTAGGTAGCAACGCTGGCCCCTTGCCAGGATGTATCACAGTGCCAAGTATATTACACCGAGCAAAACAAAAATAGGGAGGGAATCCAATGAAGGAATCAGACAAAACAGACAATAAATAGTTCACACAGTTTTGGGTCGGTGCAAATTTGATTCTCCATTTCAGCACCAATTCTTTGAATACTATTAACCCATTTTTCACTGGAAGATAATTTTATCCTTTGGAAGGTACATACAGTAGTTTCTTCCTGACAATATCCTTTGTCCATCTAAAAGGATTTACTATGGGGAGCACAAGTACCAGACAGCACATCCCCCACAATACAGATAAAATTTGCTGCTTAATTAGGCATTGACATGTTTACTATAACCTTTACAGAAGAGTAACCTGTGCTGAGTTATGAAATCCTCTTTTTTTGTGCCTGTATAAAATACAGACACAATCTTATGAAAGTGGTAAAAGTAACTTATTAGAAATCATCATTAAAATTTCACAAAACCATCTGGCAGGTCCATTTTAATGGTTAAGGGTTCCCAGTAATTTTGAAAACACATTTCAGTATCCTAATTGTAAAACCATTTCTGTTTATTTAAATGATTTAAATTGCTGTGGGCATTTTAAGGACAGTGGAGATGTCTTCTGTGCAGACAACTTAGGGTACAAGAAATGCATGTGTCCTTCCAACAGTGGATTTCAGTAAGATTTCATTGGACATGAAGTTTGATATGAACTGATGTAGCTATTTAACAGAAATAACATTAATTTAAGTGGACTTTGCATTATTTATTTTATAAGTGAAGGGTGTCTTAAGCCTGTACACATACATGCTTTAAATGCAGTGCCTGTAATAAGTAGCATAAATTTTGCCCATCATACTGATGTCCATATAATAAATTGTTGAGTGACCTGTTCTCTTCCCACCCAGTTCTCCCCCAGTATTCTTCTGACATTCTAAACCTCTGAGATGCTCATATATAGCTGTCTTACAGGAAAAAATAATAATAAAGAAATCCAAACTCAGTAATCAGATGAGTGCTTCCTCCTTTTCTCAGATGAGATTTTTTCCCACCAAAATTAAACAGGTCCAGACAGAGATGTGAGATGGGCAATGTACAGTCCTGAAGAACTGGGGGCCTGAAATTTCACTATCTTGAAGACTAGGTTGCAATAAACAGCTGATTCTTTACTCTTCAAAAGTTGATATTTTCTTAGATATTTCTAGCATACTTCTACACAGTAACTACAAGAAAGCAGGTCCTGTTAATACACCTGCAAAAACTCTTCTTTGAACTTATGGGTTCAAAACTATCCACATCCACCTTGAAGCCTTGACCCTACCATGCAGACAGCACTGAGCCAAGCTCCCAGTGATGTTGAATCCAGTATTGACTTTCAGGCCCTCGCACCCCTGACCAACCTGTAATTTGCACCACGTTATACATCACTTCTGACCTTGAATTGTAGAGTGTGAATACGTGGGGTTTTTTTCAAGTGTTCATTCTGACTGTTAACTTTTCCACCAGTGGATGCTATTTTCACTCAAATGTGCTCTTTTTCCACATAAAGAAACATTTCTTAATATATATATATATATACACATGTTTCTTTCCAAGACTGGAAAATTTATTTTCTGCCAAGAAAAGGGACAATGAATCATTGTCCAGAACAACACTGCTAATCCATGTAAAATCCATGCACCATCTGCACTTCTTCATATATATATCCCAGTTTTACTTGAAATAACATCATTAGTAGAGCAATCTTGCAGTGCTATAAGGTGATCTTGTTTCCTTCTTGTCTGGCTTCAGCTCAAACATCTTTTTGTGTTTGGCAGAAGCTGTTTCTTTCTCTGAAATATTTCATGCAGATAATGGATAATGACCACTTCTCATTCCTTTTTCTCAAAAATGTCTAACCACATTAGCTACCCAAAGACAAATCTTAACCTAGCTCTTTGTAGAAGTTCATAGCTATAGATTCATCCCAGTTTGAAAAGCAACTGAAGAGGTAAATTGGCAACTGAGGAAAAAAAAATCCCTGCTCTTGCATAACTCTTATATCGAAGACATTTTGGAATTTAACAGGACTAAAACCAATGCAGAACTCTGGAAATGTAATGGAGTTTCGTGGAAAGAACTCTCAAAACAAGAAATCTGTAATACAAGGGTGAATTATATAATTTCATAGCTTTTTAAACTATGTTAACAATTTCTGTACCAGGGAAATAATATTCTGTTAAGTTCTGCAAGATGGAAGGAAAACACAGGTAAAGGTTATCGTTCTCACCACGGAGGAAGCAGAGACCATCTGGCTCTGAATCATGAGTGTCAGAGACAAAAGAGCATCTCTGTCATCTGGTCTAAACGTCCTGGTAGTGTAAGGTTTATTCATAAAGCCATGTGCATCCTGAGGAAGGTTTTAGATGCTCTCAAAACCTCAGAAAAGTCTGGATATGCTCAATTACCTCTTTTCAGGGAGGCAGTTAATTATTTTGGATAATGGCAAGGTATTTGCACCTTTTGCTGCTATTACTATTTACCATCACATTCAAATTAATTTTGCAGTGGCTCAGAAAGGAAGTTTCAATCACCACCCTAGTGATGCAATTTTGTGTCCAAAACAACTT